GAAGCAATAAACAGCCAAAAAAGTAATATAACTCAAGAATAGAGAGAGATTTCCAAGGTTTTTTTACAGAATTATAACGAAATGCATAGGAATTTGTCTCTTTAACAATAAGAGACATAGTTTCCTAGTTAAAGAAAAGCTGGAATAAGGCTAGAGGATGCTAATATTAATTGTTAGGCAGATTACGAGGTTCAGCGAGATGTTCAACAATCAGAATTGTTCTTCAGCTTCCTCTAGGGGTATTAGAAGCTTATCTAGCTAGGTATCGGCTGTAGAGTCATCAGGGATAGATGGAGCTAATAGAAATTAGTATAAATAATCAAAGAACTAAGAAAAAACAGCTAAAAACAGCTAAAAATGAGTAAAAAAAGCTATTTTTACTTACTTGTATAATCATTTGGCTGTTTTTCTGCCCATTTCTTCGGAATAGACTTTGCTTTTGGCCCTTTTTTTATAGATTTTGGATATAGAGACTCTGCAAGATAAAGAGGACCACGTTTTTGATGAATTTCAGCCCGAAATAGGATCTCAACAGCGATATTGGGGTCAATTGGCCCCATTTTGGAGCCGGAGTCAACCGGAGAAGATCCCTCATAGCTATCAGAGCTATAGCAATCTAGGGAAGAAATTTCGTCTTAATCCGTTAAGAATTGAGCGTTTTGGGAGGCTTTTCGTACACGTTTTGAGCGTAGAATGCGTGAATTTGAGGGATTTTCGATAGAATTCGCCTGGTTTTCGGCGCTTTCAACAGATAGCTTGCTAATAGTACGCTTATGCAAGGCAATTAAGGCGCTAGCACTTGATTCTGGCGCTGATTGAGCTGAAATTCGTGGAGAAATCGCTATTTTGAGTGATTTTGAAGGGTTTTTGATGAGTTTGAAAGATTTCTGAGTAGAAGAAGCTGATTTAAAGTAATAGAGTTGATTAAATAGATAAGGCCAAGGGCTAGTATTAGTTTGAACTAATTTCGCGAGTTGATTTGGTAGAGAAATAAAAGAGTAAAAGTAATATAAAGTAGTAGAATTAATTTATATAGGATGCTAAGTTTTAATAGAAACTAAAGATAGAAAAGTTCTAGAACCTTAATTCTTTAATAACTTACTAGTTACTAAGGTTATAAGTTATAAATAAGCCTTTTCTAGGATTCTATAGATAGATTTATATTATATATCATTTATAAAGTATTATCTTTTATATTAGCAAAGTTAATCCTAAAAGTATTTTTAAAAACTAGTACTTTTTTACTATTTATATTTTTCCTTTATAAATAGTAGCCTTATTAGCTTTAAAGTTATATAGTAATTTAGATCCTTCTAAAGGCTATATCGAATAATACTATTTAGATCTCTAGCTCTTATAGTAAGCCTAGTGCAGCTAATTTAAATTTTACTCTTATAATTCATTTTTAGTGTTCTTAACACTAAGGCTGCAGCTAGGTCTTGACGAATTTTAATGTTCTTAACGCCAAGGCTGCAGAACACTCTCATAATTTTGATGTTCTTAATGCCAAGGCTGCAGAAATAACCTTACTGTTAAACGCGGGTACTTCTTAACGCTAAGCTTTATAAGGAAGGGTCACCACGACAGGGGTTAATCGGGCTCATAAGGGATAGCCTTATCTACTTCTTTCTTAAAATTATAAGGTACGTAGTCTTTATTATATAGAAGATCTGTAATCTCTACTAATATTTACTAATATATATAGATAAATAAAGGGCCTAAGAGATAAATTAATAAATCTTATTAATAAAATTAGAGATAAGAATAAGTTTAGCTAGGTCTATTACATTAATTTATAACTTTTTATAAAGTTATTCTGCTAATTAATAATTTATAATTATACTTAACTAACATTTTATATTTAATAATATTAATATTTTTAAACGGGTATACAAATTAGGAATAGCTATCAATACTATTAATAGTCTAGATATAATTAATTAAGGGTTTTGTCTTAATCTAGACTTTCTTAGAAATAATTCTTTATCTATTTATCTTTAGGCTAACTATAGTCTAGTTATAAATATATACCTTAGTCTTTGCTGCTTTATCTTAAAGTTTAAGTAATAACTTAGATTCCTTTAATATTGCTTAGATATTATTTTCTATTATCTGAATTATATGTTTAGCTATATTATTCTGACTTAAGGTATATAAGATAATATATTACTTACTAATTCCTATCTATTAGCTTTATTTATTAAGAGTCTATTTAAGTTCTCTAGCATTATTACTTTAGATTGCCTTTAGCTTCATCTTTATAATAAGTTCTTTACTCTAATATTACTTTTTAAGGTAATCTTTTACTCTCTTTTAATCCTTAATTAAGATTACTTATAACTTTCTAAAATAATTATTAATAATCTTTAGGAAGTATTAGGTGTTGCTAAGTATTATTAGAAAGAGGCTATAGATATAAATTAATATAAGATTAAAAAGATTAGCTTTATACTAAGAGACTTAAATATTTATTTAGTTTCTTATCTTAGTCAGATTATATACTTTATAGATATCTATTTACTTAGCTTATAAATTGCTTTTTATAATATTATAATCTTATATAGGTCTTATAGTTTCTTCTCTCTTATATAAGCAAACCTTTTATGCTATAATTAATATTATTTCTTTATAATATTAGTTATAGCTTTCTTAGAGAATATTAATTAACTATAATTAGTAAGTGGCTTAAAGAGAATATTATAGACTATAGTTTATAATAGTATCTTT